TGCTGAGTTTACACACCTATAATATTCAAATAACGGAACTTAACAAAAAAAAGGGTATACAGATGAATGTCCATTTTGTATCCGTGTATTCAAAGTGGTTAGGATAGATATATAGTTACATTCTGTTAATGAATAGAATGACTTGTTCTAATGGTGTTTGTAATAGGATATCAAGTCTGCATCTCGTACAGCAATTAACCACTAAGAAGAATGTATGCAGTGTGTTAATTATTGAAACTGTCCTACTGATTTGATTTGAAAAAAAAAAACCCAAAATTTAGGGCTATAAAAAGCCTCAATACTAATTTTTTTATAACCAAAAATCTTCTGAAGAACTCCGGGGTAAAAACATATAAAGCAGAAGCAAGACTGGGGAGCTTGGGGCCATAACCATGCAAATCATGCAAGGCAAACCTTGACCCAGGGCTACAAAGAACACATTTGAACTAATCCAACACTCTCAACTTCAAAGAAACACAACACCCAGACTGCTTAAGTCATTTTCTGAAGTTACAGTGATACCTCAATGGATTTAATATTATTTTTGTTGATGAATATACATCAGGGAAATGGGAAATAGGAGACATAGATACAGATACAGATTATAGAGAGAGATAGAGAGAAATATTTATCAACTCTCCAAAGCATTTTCAACATATTGTATATGTGGAAAATTAAAAATATATTTTTTCATTATGAAGTATAGAAAGAACGTAAGATTTTCTAAAATTATTATGAAGCAAGAATTTTAAAAATAAAGAAACACCATTTCATACAACCACTGTTCACAAAATTATTTTAATGGTGTTCAAATACCTTTTTCCCCAGTGCCATATCCAATGTCAAATCAAGAAAAACTCCTTGTTTTGGATTAGTATAGTCCAAAATTTGATACTTCTTAAGTAAGTGAACAGCTTTCTCCACCTCATATATGGGCCGTGGGTATAAGCGCTTTAAATAGACATCATCCTCAGGTTCACCTTCCATGTACGGGTATGACTTTATTTTTTCTATCTCATCTCTCTTTTCCCCTGGTGTTTTTTCTTTGGCAACTTTGTTGGCTTTCTTTGCATGCCTTAAAAAAAAGACAAAATATTATTTTAATTCAAAAGCATAAAATTTTCAATTTTTCTTAATTTAACAAACAATAAGTAAACTTATACTGTTTATGGTCAGTACAAGTTGAATTAAGGCACTGATATTATTCTGGAAAAGCAGGAGACAGATATGTAAACATAATTTCAACATAATATAAGTACTGTAAAAAAGAGCCTTATAAAATACACAACTCAGCTAGGAAATTAGGGATGAGTTCTAGAACAGATAACCCCTTCACTGTGGGATAAAAAAATTAATTGATGCCCAAAAGAAAGATCATTTAAAAGAAAAAAAAAAAAAAAAAAAAAAAAAGTTGTTTTTTTTTTTTAACACAACTTTTTCTAATCTGACCACAACAAAAGAGATCCTCAGGGTCTGAGGAGATGGCTCAGCAGAATAAGCATTTGCCTGGCAAGCGCAAGGGCCTGAGTTCAATCCCAGGTTCTGCCAAAAAAAAAAAAAAAAGATATCCTCAGAAAGAAAATTAAAATATCATTTTTAAAAAATTACTTAAGTGAGACGCTTAACAAAATTTAGGGCTAAAAGCTACAACTCTTGTTGCATAGGTCCTGTTTTACCTTGGTCTTAACCATCCAGAAGAAAAGTATAAAAATAAAATATAAGAAATAAAGCCATGCTGTTATGTTAAGCTGTAGGGGACTCAGGTCAACAATTTCTGACATTGCCAGTTAAGCGGAAGAACCAATACTATTATGGGCTACTGGACTCTTTTGGAATATTTTGCTGAGTTTACACACCTATAATATTCAAATAACGGAACTTAACAAAAAAAAGGGTATACAGATGA